ACTGCTTCATTATTCTTCATTATGAATTTAAGAAAGCGCACAACAAATGATAGACAGCTACGGGACTATCACAACCGCCAAGATTTGAAGATACAATTTGATGTATGAAATTAAAAAAAAATCTTTGACCTGCTTGAGATACCGACGAAAATATTTTAAAGCCATCGCTAAACAAGTTGCTTGAATCATTAAGTGAGCCAAAGGTTACGAAGCGACAAATTTTAAGCTTTGCGTCACCCATGTACGATCCTTTCGGATTACTGGTGCCATTCGTTCTGGTGATGAAGTTAATAATACAAAGCATGTGGCTACAGAATCACAGCTGGGATGTGCCCCTACCCAAGTATATTCTAAAGGATTGGACAGAATTGGCGAAAGGCCTCCCAATAGTCAATCAGTTTCAAGTTCAGAGACATTTCAGACAATTTCTTTCGGACAACGATTTCCGTGTTGCCATATATGTCTTTAGCGATGCAAGTCCAGCCGCGTAAGGCGCCTTGCTTTACCTTCAGATACGAGACTTCCATGAAACCATAAAAGTTCTGCTCCGGATAGCCAAATCAAAAGTAGCACAGCTGCAAAAGATGACTGTCCCACGACTATAGCTCATGGGAGCACTTGTTGCAGTTCGACTTATTGCAACAGTGAAAAGTTCCCTGAACTTATTAGACTTTGAAATTGTTGTGTGGACAGACTCTATGATCGTGATTCATTGGCTACGAAGTTAGACAAAGCGTTGGAAGCAGTTCGCAGCAAACCGAGTGTCTGAGATGCGCTCCTTACTAGAAGTGAATATGTGGATACATTGGCGAGGAGATCAAAATCCTACCGATTTGTTGCCTAGAGGAGTCGCCGCCGAGCGACTCCAACAAAGCTCGCTTTGGTGGAAAGGACCATACTTTCTACACAATGAGACTAAATTTGACGAGCCCTGCTACAGCGGGGATACAGTCGGCAAAAAGAAGAAACCATGTATTTGAGAAGCAACGATTGTAAACATCCAGAACCATAAACATCCCGAACCAGAACCAGAACCAACGATTGTAAACATCGATGACTACAACTCTTATGACCGACCGATGCGTTTGACTGCATGGATACAATGGTTTGCTAGAAATTGCCGACACCCAGACACCAGAAAAACAGGACCTGTAACTGACTGAATTAGAAGATGCAGATGTTTATTGGATACGTCGAACGCAAAACAAAGTATTTGGACCAGATATTCGGCGTATGAGCACTAGCACTTCAGTGGTTCAGCCCTTTTCACGACGAATTAAGGATTCTTCGCTTAGGAGGTCAACCTCAGCTCAGAAACCTCCGCGAAAGTTCCAAGGACCCTATTCTGCTTCCTGCTTCAGATGCATTCACACAGTAACTTGTGAAGAAAGAACATTAACGCTTTTTACACGCTGGATTCGGTTTACCCATCATGGAGCTGAGCCAGGCAGGAAATAAAGAAAGTTATTCAAAAATGCATAGTCCGCCAGAGATCCTCCTTCAAGGCATACTCGGAACCCTTCGCACTGTTAGCAGAAGACCGTGTCACCCCTTCTTCACTTTTCGTTGTATGTGGGGTAGATTTTGCGCGACCCCTTATCCAAAAACATAAGGCATATACTACGAAAAAGACCTGCATACCGCTTTTCACCTGTGCAGTTGTCAGAGCTGTTCGTTCGGAGCTCGTCACCAATCTTAGTTACGGCGGATTTCTACTAGCCTCCTACGATATTTGTCTCGACGAAGCATTTGCAGGATTACGTACACCGACAATGCCAAGACCTTTGGAAAGGACTCAAGGGAGATTCAGACACTTCACGAGTTGATGAAATCCCAAGGAGTACAATCGTATTCCGCCAGTCACAGGATTGTTTGAAAACTTATCACCGAACAGGTTCCTTGGTGGGGAAAATTTCGGAAACGATTGATTATGTCTGTGAAGTTTGCATTGAAGAAAACATGAGGTAATCATTACTTTAATTAGGAGGAACTTTCGACCATCCTCGTTCAAGTTGAAGCAATGATAACGTCTTGACCGATCACTTTTGTGTATGCAGAATCATCTGAACTGACCCCACTTACGCCAAGCCATTTCCTCATAGGACAACGACTGACTATGCTTCCCGCAGATTGTGTGAGCACATCATTGAGAAAGGCTTTCTCATCACGCGACATTCTTCAACGAAGATGGAAGCACAGGGAACACGTGTCAAAATATCTTTGGAACAGGTAGAGACGAGACTACCTCCAAGAGCTTTGTTCAGCTCATGTGACTGAAAATACAAGCACAGAATAAGTTAAAAAAAGAGAAAGAATGAAACGTGCTGAGACAACTGTGGGACATCGGACAAGTTACAGAATTATTTTACGGCAAGGACGGCAAAGTTCGGGGATGCAAGGTGCGCACTTCTAGTGGCATCACGTTGAAGAGACCGATGCAACTGTTGTGTCCTCCCAAATATTCCGCAGAAGCTGAAATACCTTGTAAAGAATTGCCTTAAAAGAAGAACGCCCGTGAGTTGTTCGGCAGAGAGCTGTTAAAATTTATTCGGAAGAGCGGCGAAGACAAAGAAGAGGACTAGAGCGTGCCCGGATGGCGTGCCCACCTTTCACTTTTGTTTTTAGTTTTAAAGTCAGCGTCTCATAAACAAGACTTCCTCTACTACGGCCCCACTTTCTGGTATTCAAGAGCCCCGCCTCGTCGGTCAAGTGGTTATGACACTCAACCGCTAACCCGAAGGTCGTGGGGTGGAATCCCGGCTGCAGCGGCTGCATTTTCGATTGATGCGAAATTTTCTGAGGCCCGTGTGCTTAGATTGAGGTGCACATTAAAGAACTTCGGGTGGTCGAAATTTCCGGTGTGTTTCACTCCAGCATCTATCATAATCTGATAGTGGTTTTGGGACGTTAACCCCCAGAAACAAAAAAAAATAGGTTTGCGTGGACAAAGGAAGGCACATAAGAGGAAAAAGCTTGTGGTATTTCTAAGCCTTGTAGGTTTGGTCGAACTGCCACCCTATAATAATGTGCACCCTTGGAATTTTCAGCCGTATCAGAAGAGAGCTGAGTACGGGATACGGTTCCGTATAATATCTTCGGAAGGTATCTGCCGACAACACGCAAACGACAAAGCACAATATAGTGCGAGAGCCGTCTGCTATGCAGATGTCCAAAAAGAGCGACGTCAGCGGGCGTGTTTCGGCCTCCTCGACGCTCACGCTTTCAAGGTGGATGTGTACAACAGTAAAAAAAAGCAAGGAATGAAGTGATAACGCTCCAGAAACCACCAGTGTCTAATGCCACTAGCAGACTTGCACATCAAACGATACTTTACTTGGCTGCGCATGACGCGTATCCGCGTACTCTTGGCCATTTTTCCGATGTGCCCCGCTCTACAGCACTGTTTACTTTAAGATCACTTAAAACAGCACAGAACAAGACGCTATCAGTTCAGCGTGCTTTGTGTGCTGACCGGGCGCTCGCATTAACTGGCGTGGTACAATTATGCCCTAAACTGGGAGGAGCTCTGACGCTCGACAAAATTGTTTATCCTACAACACAGGCTACGAATAACAATTTGGGGGGGGGGGGTTAACATCCGAAATTCACCATATGATTATGAGAGATGCCATTGTGAATGGCTCCAGAAATTTATCGTGCACCTTAATCGAAGCACCGCAGTTTTGTCACATCCATCGAAACTGCAGCAGCCGCGGCTGGTATTTGATCCCGCGACCTGCGGGTCAGACATCGAGTGTCTTATATGGCCACGAGACCACCATAACGGGTTTGCAACAAAGGTTTCCTTATCTTAACCATGCGCGAGATCATAAGCTCAGCAGTCCAGAAGTGCTTTCCAAGGCCAATTGCTGATGATGAGGAACCACAGCAAAACTACTGAGCTGCAGACAAAAAACGCCTGCATGGTCACAGCGAAAGCTGGATGAGTGGCATTTATAGGACCGTTTTAGAGCTCGTTTGGGGCAGCTATTACAAGTGAGGCTACCACTTCACAATAAATCATGTTTTTTATGAAGTAGGAAAGCACTTACTATGCTATCAATCGTTATCCAGCATATAAGTGAGATACTCTCTCCACGATCGTAAGGGATTACATGAGCTCTGTTGATGAGGTGGCTGATGACGCAAAATAATTATGGCTGAGTTACGCCAAGCAGTCACGACAGCGTACAAGTGCATGCAACAGCCCGGCCTCCCAAAGTACTCCGTGCTGGAAACGGTAACGCATGAAAAGTTGCCAGTGCACTTGCCAGCACCTCTGAACACCCACCTTCTCGGACTGGAGCGGCTCCTCATTTCTAACTGAAAATTGAGAGCCTGCTTTAGAAAATTGCGGTGCCAGTGGCGTTAGCGTCATTGTTTGTAAGCAAAACAGGGTTGAGTGCGAGCGAGACTTCGAAGTAAATGCGATAGAGAGAGGAGCAGGAGGGCCTTTTAACTTAGCTCTTCCTTGCAGCACAGTGTAAAGTCATTATCCAAAATCGAAGATAAGCTTGTTTTTGGTCAGTCTAAAGTGTGTGCGTGGGGCATCGCTGTCGCGCTGAACGTTTAAACACGAAGCCTAATGGTCAAAAATTTTGTTATTTGCTCCTTTAACTGTGGAGCCTCTCTAGAGCCGAGCCTGATGAAATGCAAGTGTTCATTTCGCATGTACATGCTCCAGTTCATGGATGCCCCCACTCATGACCTAGCTGCTCCGGTCACGGACGTAGTGATAGCCGTACAGTGAAGCAGGAAAGGGTGGCTTGAGCGTTATGATGGTCTGTGATCACTGTATTGAAAATGGGTGAGGCGGGGACTGCCACACGTCCTCTTCTGCACATCTTTACCCTACGAATAACACCGTGTGGCATCCACACAAAATCACAAATCATTGCGGAAAGTCACGAGGCGAACACAGAATTGTCGCATGCAGCCCCAAGATTCCTACAGATTTCCCAAAGCGTTAAACTGAGGTTGCTTGACTCAATTGCAGCTCATTTGATTCCCGGTTATTTTAATTTATGGACCAGCATACGAACGTCTGTCAGTGCTACTCATGCTGTCAGCGTCACAGCGATGACCGACAGCATTTCAGTCGAGCTCTCCTGGCCGAATCAAAAGAGGCACTGGTTCCTAAGAAAGCTTCGAGGGCCTGGTTGACGACCGGCGCATTTTCCTGGTGAGGCCAATGGCCACAATCTTGCAAGAACTGGACGGTCACCTTCGAAGAGTAGCGCCGACTCAGCTCGGCCACTTGCGTAGTCCCGTACGGATCTCTGGATCCCCACAGCAGGAGCGTGGGTACATTGAGTCGGCGGTACTGGAAGTTCTTCAGCTGCCGCTCCTTGGAGTAGGTGGCACGGTAATAGTTGATCGCCGCCGTCATAGCACCTGCGAATTCACCAAACACACGCGACGTGTCGTCAGTACACTGGTTCTGCTCTCGCATGATGCTTCAATCAGGCACCAACGCATATTTCGTCGTGAGCTCTTGTCTATTCACGACTTTGACATGTTAAGGCGCAAGCCTCATACGCCAGAACTGTTTTCAGTAATCATACCACATTTCCTACATCTATACGCAGGGCTTGGCAGTATCGTGATCCTGGAGTATCGCGAAAGCATTTGAGAGATACTTTTGAGAATCAATATTGCACTATAGAGATACGTTTCAATAATGTATTCGCATCGCAATAGTAAAATGCTTTTACGATGTATCGCCCGTATCTCGATACTATCCAGGACAAGCGTGTCTAGTTACTCTTCTTTTTTTTCGGAAACGGTCCGAGACGTGCTTACAACGGGAAAAACTTTTTTTCGGCTGTGGCTTTGTCAGTCCATGGCGAAACATGCACCCACCATTTCTACACTTCTGCTGAAGGTGAAACTGACTCCTACCTTTTTGAAAGCGAGCTTGTCTCTTTGCTCTCCGCATACCATTGTGCCCTCTGAGGTAGAGATGGAATGCGTTTAAATTATCGCCTGCTTGAGCTTGCCAACAATGTTATACTGTCATTTTGAACTCCAGCAGTGATATTTTCATTGAGAGGAGTATTGCATACTGCACATTGGGCGCCAACCAACAGCGTCGTTTTTACAATGTGTTCCTTCATGTCAATTGAAATAGCAGTGCTTTTTTTCTCGTTTTTTCCATCTGATTTCGTGCCTCTCATTTGTAAAACTGGAGTATATCGCGGCAGCCGAAATCCACCCAAAAGATTTGGTGTGTGGTGCCGTGTGCCATCAACAATACGTATTTCTCTAAAGCGTTTCTGGAAGACGCCCGTGTGGCCACACGACGATTGGAAGGAGGTCTTTTTGCGTTTCCTCTCGTATTCTTTGTTGTGTTCTTTCTTCTCACTGCTTCTATGTGTTTCTGGGAGACACTAAACCTTTCAACTGGAAGTGAGTGCTCGTCTTCATTCTTTATGTGTTCCCCTCCTGCTACGAGCTAGGCCACTTTAGCAAAACTGGAAACCAACTAGCCTGAAGCACTTGTCGACTAAGTTGAAGGTCGCTGAAGTGAGTTCAATCATTACAGTGGACACGAGAAATCTAGGACCTTTACTTTCTCTCTTTAGTCACAAACACATGCTGACCGCTGTGTTCGTCTAGTGGTGACCGTAATGCGTTACAAGCAACGGCGTTAGCGGTAGCACATTGCGTTTTCAGGTAAGGCCGTAAGGTACTCGTAGCAATTCTAGAACTGTAATGAGTAACGTACGTTAAGGTGGTGGTCCCACTCCGGCAGTACCCGCTCCGCATTCTAGTCATTGTTTGCTGGCACACTACGCTTACTGCACGTATCAGTGTGCATTGTATCTGCTACAGCACAAGCTTGTGCTCCTCTGCAGCGACAGATAGGCTTGTCTCGTTCGCCAGTTTGGTGTTTAGGTCGAACCAACGATGTCTAGATGACCGCCTAATTGAGAAGCTAGAGCTGCTTAAGTGCAATCGACGTGCCAAATGTTTCAAGAAAACAGATTTATTTTAAATAAAATGACACCTTTTCTCGACTAGTTTGTTTATGGTTCCAGCGCTTCGCTTGAACTACGCTACTTCTAGCATAGCTACAGTACTGTTACCGCCAAGTATACCGATTTCAGTGTACAATACGTGTCAGACTCGCTCTCATACAGTATAGTTTTTTATCGCAATCGATATCTGTAAATATGTCGTTATTACCAATTATGCGCAGTGTAAGCCTCGTTTGTAATGCCTAATGTTACTCATAGTACGGTAATGTAATAATGAATAAATTTGACTGCAAACTTTGATGCACAGCGCATTTTGAATATTATGCTCCACATAACAAATAACTGTGCGTAGTATGACTATCTCAGACATTGAGAAAAGTATTGCAGTATCTGTATTGCCGCATCTGTATTCCGGAATGCGTTTTCCTTCTTTTCCAAAACACTATCTCTGAAATATCTTTTTGCCTCAATTAAAAATGCAGCTCAGTATCTGTATTTTAGGCTTTCAAACCGTGTATTTCGATATGTGTATTTGGGAATACTTTTCATAATATCTCTGCTCAGCCTATCTATACGTAGTTATCAAGTAACTGATATATATGCAACTAATGAACTGACATCGTGGCTTTTTTGGCTAGCTATTTAAACGCATCTTAGCGCAAGGAGCCAAGTACGAGAAAGACAGAACAGGGTGAGCGCTTTCAACAGAAAGTTCACTGTCAGGACCAGCAGTAAAAGTTCATCAGTACAATACAAAGGCCCAAAATTCACACATAAAAATCTTCTACGTCCAGTCAAGAGAATTCACTTGCTGTCAGCGCCATAGTAAAGCACCTGACACGTCTTTCACCAGCCCTCGTTATTGGTGCGGCTCAAGCAATCCATCACACATGTTTATCTGCATTCTATACCCAACAGTGAGCTATTCGAAGAAAGCTTCACATCTACAACGACAATGCACAGACGTGTGACCATCCCAATATCGGCCCTATTTCGCTTATGTCACTTGGTAAACCATCATAAGGCTATCTTCTGGATGGCTTTATGTTAACCTTCCAGCGAGAAAAAGGTAAGCGGCATGCCGCACACTTCACGCTTGAAACAGCTGACGCCTCTTTACACAGCCTGCACGTCCCATAGCCATTGGTCAGCAAAGAAAGACACTCACTCAAGAATTATATTTTTTTCCGAGGACTCACTCGGACTCAGACACATCAAAATTTCCCTCTGCCGCACCCACTCTGACTCATTGTACTTTCTCGCGAGTCAGCTCACTCGGATGCAAACTCACCAACGTTTTACTCAGACGAACTCAATCAGATTCACACTCATGGAGTCAACTTAGTTGAGTGAGCCGGAGTGAGTCAACTCATGATCCCATCTTACAGAGTCCACTTTTGAGTGAGTGTGCCGATCTACGCTTACATCTAACGGGTATGTGGCCTTGCAAATACTAATGAACTTCAGCGGAAAATAGGATTGTCCTTTATGCTACCTCTGTTAGGTGGAAGTTTCTACATTTAAGTTAAATATTTATTACCCACCATTTGTGGCATAGAAGAGACAGAGCAATTGCACAGTCACAGACCGATAGGCACCAACACTCCCTTCCGTTGAAGTAAATACTTGGGGTCTGTCCTTCACGTATTCGTTTTTACTGAAGTGCCGCTCTGCTGCGGTGATGAATCTTTTCGAACTAGCCCAGTCAAATTTTCTGCAGAACTTATTTTTAGAGTTAACCTGAATTGTGTGGCCGGTTTGAACCCCGAAATTTGTTTGAAAGATGAAAGAGGACAATTTTTAACGCGATTGTTATACGTAGAGGTCCACCATGGCTACACTGACATATCTCCGCCACAGGTGTAACACCGTAAAATACAAACTAACAAAATGCAAAGGAAAAAGATAGACAAAAAGATCCGCCACCGTGGCCGTCGAATCTACGACTGCTCGTTCCGGAGGGCACGGCGTGACACCACTGGACCACAAAGCGTAGGTTCTCGAGCTTAATGATGGGAAGCTATTTATGTACCTTATAACGTTGGCAGTCCTCGGAACTATCTGACCCCAGCGTAGCTTTTTCATCACTAGCGAGAAGGCGCGAAGAGCTCTGCGTGCACGCTCTACAGGTCGTCGCCCCGCACGTTGCGATGCGTGCGCGCCTGAGCGCGCCTCCACAGGACGTGCTCGCTCGAGCGCATTCGCTTATCTCGTGGCTGGGGCGCTTTCTAAGCTTGTTTTGAAGTTACGATGGTTAAAGAATGCACATGCACGAAGGTCACCTCGCTCGGAGCAGCAGCCGCGTTTCGCAATGGGGGGCGCTACTCACTTACGAAGCAACAACTATGACAGTTGTGCGCAGTGTTATTGTATATACCTTTACGCTCAATTCGCGTATGTTTATTTTTGTTTTAGCAGCATTCTTCAAATGTCGAGCTGTGACAGTTCATATTTCGTGCTTGTATTGTGTTTGCTCGTCTCGTGCGTCGTTTTTGCTTGAGGTGCTCACTTGGAGTTTCGAGCTGGAACATTACATTTGCTGTTGCATTCATTTCTTCAACCTTGTTGTGAAACAATGCGCAATAAACACTTAACAACATCTGTGTAGGTGTGATTGACTGTTTACTGAATCTGATATGTGAGACGGGTTAGCCATGTTTGATGTTTTTTTTTTGTTCTGTGCATCTTTACTCCCGCTAAATGTTTTACTGCGAGGTAACATAAACGTACTGAGAAAACACTTTCACTGATAATCAAAGGTAAATAAGACATCACCTTCCCCACTCACACCACCACTTAAAGCAGCTCTTTATGTAGGACGTCTCACGGTCAATCTGTGCTGCACTTGCAAAGGCAGCAACGCACTATTTTGGCTATATCACGAATACTAAAACACAATACGCCTTAGTTTAAGAACGTGTGGTGCTGTGCTTTCGGGTGAAGGCTCCTCTTAGTGATTACTATATCTTCTGAAGGTGCAAATGGCACAATGCTGTGGTGGCCTCCACTGACTCGCTGAAGTATTTAGCGCTAAGACGTGAATCACCACGCATCATCAGGTACTGTCTTATTCCGTTTGATCGCGTCGCTCCTCCCAATGAAGGTTTACCTAAAAGCTCCAGTTGGAACAATTTAGGCTACCTTTATGCGCGATATATTCGCACTTGCTCACGCTATTTACATGCCTGGCTTTGAGAACGCGTACTGCCGCACGGAGGTTACTTCTTCTACATCGTCGCAGTCGTTGTGCAGGTGCTTCATTTCTGCGAAGTCGTCCACGGTAAGCCACAATTCTGGTATTTTGGGACATCGGAAGGCGACCATGTAGCTGCAAAAAAAAGTAAGCATAACTGAATTATACTCTTTCTTCCGCATACCTCTTTCTTCCACATAACTCTTTCTTCCGCAATTAATAGGTAGTGTCTAAAAATTCTCTTTGTTATAATAATGAAGCTTGTCAGAAATGGAGAGTTTCAAGAAGCCTTTTAAGATTTTTACTACACTCTCGCAGTTTATATTAGCAGAGGTTTTTTGTTCTATATTTACTTGTTAGGTAAACAGAACCTATGAAACTCACTCAGACTGACTCATGAAACGCATTTCACGCTATGGACTCAGACTCTTCAAAGTTTTCTTAGTGAGATTCACTTGAACTCACTCACGAAAATTTTCTTCAACCGAGCTCACTGGGACTCAAGCTCACCAAAGTATTACTCACGCGGACTCACTCAGACTTACACTCACTGCTCGATCTGAGGCTGACTGAGTCCTAATGAGTCCACTCGTGAGTTAGTTGGCCTGGAATTAACTTTCTAAACCAAGTTCTCAATGCTCTTTTAAACCAACATCTCACCAAATGGACGCTCGTCTTGACGCCGTTTGATATAGTACTTTCGAATACGAGTTATGAGTGATCACAAATCAGTTAGTTCACATTTCTTGGAAAAGGTAATTACACAACCTAAATATCAAGGGCTTTCCTCGAAGAGTTGGTGGAAGTGAGGGTATGTCAAGGAACCCTTTATGTAATTCGCGCCTCTGATAATTAGGTACTGAACTGGTGTATGAACGACACTGGTTTGTAATATGTGTGAATAGACGAGAGTATAAACGTGCATTTAGGAAAGACTTGTAAAGATGCTTAAGCAGGAGTAGATAGGACCATAGGTCGGCAAAAGAAAGTGGAACTCACTCAGACTCACACGAGAAAGTATCTGGCGCTTTGGACACAATCGGAATCAGACTCACCGAAATTTTCTCGGGCTCAAACTCACTCTGACTCAGGCTCACGAAAATTCTTTTCAACCCAACTCGCTCCGAGTTAGATTCGTCTAAGTATAACTCAGCCGGCCTTATTTAGACTCGAATTCACGGCTTGATCTAAGTCAGAGTGAGTCTGAGAGAGTTGAGGCATGAATGAGTTTTCCGACCTACGCTTGCAACGTTAAACTTAACGACTTTGCAGACATTTCTGCTATGTATATGCGTATAAAAATGCCACATCACTGCGTGCCGAGGAGTTCAAAGACAGATATGAAGTGATAAACCAGGTGCACTAGAATACCTCGTAGCTTCGTGTGCAATGCGAACTGTGTTCCCTTTCGATTTATCAACTGGCCTCACCCCGACTTGAGCATCTGCACGGGGCTTGTCTTGAGCAGCTGCCTCAGTGCTTCCGGGTGGCCCCCGTTGACGACGACCAGCTTGTCGACCGCATCCGGGTACTTGTTCGCGAAGCACCATGAAACGATGGCACCCCAGTCGTGGCCAACTAGGATCACCCTGTTCCTCTCTGCGGAATGAACATGGTAAAGAATTCCGTAAAATAAACTGCACTTCAGGGAGCAATGTACCAATATAGCCCATGTCAAACAGCTTCAAACTGAATGATTGATTGATTGATTTGTGGGGTTTAACGTCCCAGAACTATGATATGACTATGAGAGACGTCGTAGTAGAGGGCTGCGGAAATTTCGACCACCTGGGGTTCTTTAACGTGCACCCAAATCTGAGCACACGGGCCCACAACATTTTCGCCTCTATCACAAATGCAGCCGCTGCAGCCGGGATTCGATCCCGCGACCTGCGGGTTAGCAGCTGAGTACCTTTGCCACTTGACCACCGCGGCGGGGCAACAGCTTCAAACTCGACATGGGGCAACGGCGGCTGCTGTCAGACACAACATAGATAAGGCTGTAGGGCTCCACTGCAGCATGCAGGTAGGAAAAACTGATGGACAATTACAATACTCTCTGTGAGGCCTCTGTGAGGCCTCAAAGAGATTGATGCGTATTTTGACTGGTCATTCTCTTCTCTTGTATACGAAGAGTGCAGAACAAGTGGCACGTCTTTGGTCCGAAAACCACGTTTTCTGCGTGGTGAGCTTGCCCACATTATCAGAACTATACGGAACGGAACTTCACACCGGCGAAATCATTTTGTGGTATATTACACTCTAGCCCTGAAAACTCATGTACATGGTAATTTATACTCTAAAACACCACTGCTAATGATTGATATGTGGGGTTTAACGTCCCAAAACCGCCATATGATTATGAAAGACGCAGTAGTGGAGGGCTCCGGAAATTTTGACCACCTGGGGTTTTTTAACGTGCACCCAAATCTGAGTAAACGGGCCTACAACATTTCCGCCTCCATTGGAAATGCAGCTGCCACAGCCGGGATTTAAATCCACGACCTGCGGGTCAGCAGCCGAGTACCTTAGCCACTAGACCGCCGCGGCGTGGCAACACTACTGCTATAAGCTTATATAAAAATAACGATGCGTTATCGGATGAGCCAGGCTACTTCGACAATCAACCCACTGCAATTTTCATGACATTTTGTGTTACAGTTTGGTTCTATTCTGCTACTTTATTTCCAACTTCTCGGGATTTCATGTACAGTTCGAGCTTCAGGGGAAGATACAAAAAAAATTGGCAATAAAAACTGCTCGGAGAATACTTGAAGCAGTCGCACTTCACGTAGTATGTACGCTGTATACTCCTGCATGCAGACCCATGGCTAAACAATCGTAAACTTACGAGCACAAACATGTATTTTGGCTGGGGCTTGAAGAGTCGCTTTAGCTCACTGAACAAGCTTCGGGTATTCATGTACCAGGTAAACCTACAAGGAGGCAAGGACAAGAGGAGCCGTGGACCAAATAGACAGACTACGGCATGTGCTGTCAATGTTTATGCTACTTATATTTGCGTATTCTACAGGCAGCACGATGAGGCCTGGGAAACTGCTACGGTTGGTTTATATATTGTCACGGGGTCGTGACGTGGCCGAAGACAGGAGACTTCGTGTTGGGATTTAGCTGTTAATTTGGCCGAACCTGTGCCCGGTAAACGGAAAGTCCAATTACAGCAGCAGTCTCGCACAGATAGCAATTTCGGACTGATAGCGGCGAACAGAGCGTCGGCCTTCGATCAACAACTGACAAGCGGCGAAGCGCGTCGGCATTTATACTCTTGCCGTCGAATGTTCTAGCGTTATCGCTTGCGGTGGCGTAGGTTCCAGAACAATCTGTACCGTTCGCACAGTGGGCGTGATCTTATCGAAATGATCTACTACAGTCCGGAACCTTCTCGAAAACTGCAGGCGCGGTTTGCGCTGAGAATCGTGTGGTGTTTTGGGACGATAACAAAAACGTGGGAAATGAAACGTGGCATTGCCCCCCTCTGAAAAAAGGCATCGTCCCGATGCTTTAACTAAAGATGAAGGTACAATAATAATGCAAGAAAGTACAATGAATAAATACGATACAACAATAATACAAAAAAACACTGTTTCAGTTTGTTAACGCGCATGAAACGGCTTGAGGCACGCGACATGGACGACTTCAGGTCGCGATCGGCGTCGTTGAGAGTTCGTGATGCCATCGGGGACAACCTCGTAATCAAGTGGGCCGAGACGTCGAACCACCCTGTAGGGTCCGAAGTACCGTCGCAGAAGCTTTTCACTTAGTCCACGTCGGCGTATCGGCGTCCACACCCAAACACGTTCACCGGGCTGGTATTCCACGAAGCGTCGTCGGAGGTTGTAACGGTGGCTGTCGGTCGTCAGTTGATTGTTGATACGGAGACGCGCAAGTTGTCGGGCTTCTTCGGCGCGTTGAAGGTACTCGCTCACATCGACGTTTTCTTCGTCGGTGACGTTGGGTAACATGGCATCGAGCGTCGTTGCCGGGCTCCTTCCGTAGACCAATTTGTATGGAGATATCTGCGTCGTCTCCTGCACCGCCGTGTTGTATGCGAAGGTCACAAACGGAAGAATGGCGTCCCACGTCTTGTGTTCGACATCGATGTACATTGACAGCATGTCGGCGATCGTCTTTTTAAGCCGCTCGGTGAGGCCGTTGGTCAGTGGGTGGTACGCTGTCGTCCGGCGGTGGTTTGTTTGGCTGTATGCCAAGATCACTTGAGTTAAGTCAGCAGTGAATGCCGTTCCTCTGTCAGTGATAAGGACCTCCGGGGCGCCGTGACGTAGGACGATATTTTCGACGAAGAACTTAGCTACCTCGGATGCACTGCCTTTTGGCAGGCCTTTTGTCTCGGCGTAGCGGGTGAGGTAGTCGGTAGCTACCACGATCCACTTGTTTCCGAAAGCCGACGTCGGGAACGGCCCCAGTAGGTCCATACCGATCTGCTGGAAAGGTCTGCAAGGTGGATCAATTAGCTGCAGAAGTCCCGCTGGCCTTGTCGGTGGTGTCTTGCGTCGCTGACAGTCCCGGAATGTCCTCACATAACGAGTGACGTCGGTGGTAAGACGTGGCCAGTAGTACCTTTCTTGTATCCTCGCGAGCCTGCGAGAAACACCGAGGTGCCCTGCCGTCGGATCGTCGTGCAGGGCCTGCAGGAGTTCTGGTCGCGGAGTTGAAGGCACCACAAGGAGGTACTTAGCTCGAAGTGGTGAAAAGTTTTTCTTTTGTAGAAGACCGTTTCGTAGAAAGAACGACGCAAGTGCGCGCTTGAATACCTTCGGGACTTCGGCGGTCCTGCCTTCGAGGTATTCTATTAGGGCCTTAAGTTCCGGGTCGGCCCGCTGTCGTATAGCGAAGTCGTCGGTAGTTATCGTTCCCAAGAAGTAGTCGTCATCCGGGTCGTTGGGTGGTGGTTGGTCGACTGGCGCACGAGAGCGACAGTCGGCGTCGCTCTCGTGCGCCAGTCGACCAATTTATACTCTAAAACACCACTGCTAATGATTGATATGTGGGGTTTAACGTCCCAAAACCGCCATATGATTATGAAAGACGCAGTAGTGGAGGGCTCCGGAAAGTTTGACCACCTGGGGTTTTTTAACGTGCACCCAAATCTGAGTACACGGGCCTACAACATTTCCGCCTCCATTGGAAATGCAGCTGCCACAGCCGGGATTTAAACCCACGACCTGCGGGTCAGCAGCTGAGTACCTTAGCCACTAGACCGCCGCGGCGGGGCAACACTACTGCTATAAGCTTATATAAAAATAACGATGCGTTATCGGATGAGCCAGGCTACTTCGACAATCAAGCCACTGCAATTTTCATGACATTTTGTGTTACAGTTTGGTTGTATTCTGCTACTTTATTTCCAACTTCTCGGGGTTTCATGTACAGTTCGAGCTTCAGGGGAAGATACAAAAAAAATTGGCAATAAAAACTGCTCGGAGAATACTTGAAGCACTCGCACTTCACGTAGTATGTACGCTGTATACTCCTGCATGCAGACCCATGGCTAAACAATCGTAAACTTACGAGCACAAACATGTATTTTGGCTGGGGCTTGAAGAGTCGCTTTAGCTCACTGAACAAGCTTCGGGTATTCATGAACCAGGTAAACCTACAAGGAGGCAAGGACAAGAGGAGCCGTGGACCAAATAGACAGACTACGGCATGTGCTGTCAATGTTTATGCTACTTATATTTGCGTATTCTACAGGCAGCACGATGAGGCCTGGGAGACTGCTACGGTTGGTTTATATCTTCTTTACGTGGTTCCCGGTTACCACACCAAAGTTCCAGGTAAGAGCAAACCAGAATCATCACTGTGCAACCAGTAGCATTGTACAAGATGTAGAAGTGTGAATGACACTTGAATGCGTTTGCTGTAATGCCGAGAGTACTGCCAGGAGTGAGCATTGTAACCAAAGCAGAAAAAATGTTTTAATACACCCAGTCAAACTGTTACTGTTGACATAACTGATGCAACAGTTGACTAAACGTTTTTATGAGAACTGTTGGAAGCAAGTTGTTACTGTTGACCATCACGGCTGAGCACGAAACTATTCTGTCTTCATTTAGTATTGCTATGCAGGAATGTTTCGCCCGCTGTCTCAAGCAGATACATTGCAAAACCACGTCATTCACCTGTCAGGCGTTGGTCGTGCGCAGGGTACCGTAAACGAAAATGTACGAAGGTGGGGGGTTTCGGGAGATGATGATACCACTCCACTCCAGTGACCCTACCCAAACCGAAATGAACCGGAGTATAAATATTCATATTTATTGCCGCTTTACACCGGTGGCCGACTAATGGAGGGAAATGGGGCTGATTCCCTGACCATATACTCCGTTGGATGCTCTGCATATGTCCGGCGCATCACTCTGGGGGCTTTCATTGGCTGCTTGACTAGTGACGTATAGACAGCCTCGCTGGTGGCAGGTCCTCACAAACCAACACGGTGCATGCCAAGCCAACCGAATCGAACTGCAGTGAAGATTGTGGGACGCTTTCGGCTGTGTTCGGAAAAAGCAAATCGTTCCGTGCACCTCGTGGACATCACAAGTGACTACAAGCGTCAGCAG